ATAAAACCTCAGTTTAATGAATACATTTCCACTACCATGGAGACATTATTAGATTCTAGGTCTGTGATGGCTGTGACCACATCTGTCTTATTTACCAGTGTATTCCTTTTCCACATTTCAAACCTAGGAAAAGCACAGATGAAAGATATTTGTTGGCCTGAAGCCATCCTTACCCACTGAGACCAGCATCACATCTCTGTAGAGGTTCTTCTGCACAGAATCCAGCAAAGACCACTCCTCCAAGGTGAAGTCCACAGCCACATCCTCAAAGACCACTGAGTCCTGACATATACAAGTGTGTGGAGGAAGAAGGGTAAGTCTGAAAGCACTGGGGAACTAAATCGATTCATAGAAGGTTCAAAACGGAACTTCTGGTCTCACAATACGTGACCTGACTGCTAATAGGCTTTCTTGAACCACTAAGGAATCAACCTTAACTTTACATTTATTATGACCACTCTTGTCTTACTCCTTTCTATCATTAGGCCCCAGACAGATATGCCATGCATATGAAATAAACACTTCTGTTGGAAAGTATGCAGTAAAAGGGTAACAGAGTTCAATTATCCAAACCTATTTCAATAATCCTTTAGGACTCATTAAACTGAGTTCTAAAGCACATTCTTTAGGACTAGCCCTTGACCAGCTCCTGGGAGGAAACATGCAGGCCCTTGAAATACAATGGTAACTCTGTGCATATAGGTGGGGCCTTGGGCCGTGGCAGAGCTCATGCTAACTATGTTTTATTTTTTTAAATTTACATCCAAGTTAGTTAGCATATAGTGCAACAGTAATTTCAGGAGTAGATTCCTTACTGCCCTTTACCCATTTAGCCCATCCCCCACCCTCAACCCCTCCATTAATGCTCTGTTCTCCATATTTAAGAGTCTCTTATGTTTTGTCCCCCTCCCTGTTTTTATATTATTTTTGCTTCCCTTCCCTTATGTTCACCTGCTTTGTATCTTAAATTGCACATATGAGTGAAGTCCTATGATTATTTGTCTTTCTCTGACTAATTAC